AAAGCTGAAAATGGAGTTAATACTGCACAAAGTTAATACTGCACAAAGCCAATACTGCGCCTACAAACCTGATCCAGCAGGTTTGCCATCTACTGTCAAATCTGTCAACTCCAATCCATCCTCTCTCCATGGGGATCCATGTTTGAGTGTTAGTATTCAGTCTGTGATACTGAATTTCCCATCCAGAGGGTGTCTTAAAAAAACTTGAAAATTCATCCCCTCTCCTGCAGCCGCACTGTGCTGACCCTGTCCTCCAATATCACTCCCCCCCTGCCCAGGGCAATAAGACCATAACAGAAACAACCATCCCTCTTCCCTCCTCTCTCACTCCTTTCTCATGCCAGTCTTCACTTTTCTCCACAATGGTGAAATTACTTCCCCAGGCCAGTTATAACAGCTGAGCTCTCACCATCAGCTCCATCTTGTCAAAAAAGATAAGAAAACAATCAAATCAAGAACTATTTTTTACGACAATCTTCGTTTTCCCATCGACATTAAATACACTTATGATTTACTATAGTGCCAATTTAATGCATATTTGTTTAAATCTATACATCATAATTGGAATTGTCAACATGATAACAACATGCATGCTTCATGTGTGTAATGTGTAGCTTTGTCTGTAATATGTAATACGTAACGTAATTCAGTGTAAAGGAAGGATGGTTTACATTTTTTTGTTATAAATTCAATTATGTAGTCTAGAGATCTGCCATGTAAAACATTGTAGATAATTCTAATAATCTAAAAATCAAGGAGTAATAAAACAGTTGTTGTTTGTTGAAAGCCAGTCAGCTGTAAACTGTTAATACGAATCTTAGTAATGTTTATTCTCAAATGATAAAGTCAATGTTGTCTTTATATTGCATATAGATGTGGTTATTTTGATACCAGAGCTAAATTACCATTCACATTACCCTGTTGGAGAAAATACTTTCTCATTGATTGTCCTGTTGGCCTGAGATTACTCAGCGGGGTTCAATAGATTTTCAGTAGCCCAAGGGTCATGAAACTAAATCATCGCTCTTCTACAACAATGACAGACTCACAGTCATTAAGGAACAAACCATGTTTGCCTTGCTTAAACACACCTCTAAATCTTTATACGTTTCCAAAAAGGTCGAACCAGCACGTTTTGTTGCAACTTAATGTATTGTTTCTGACAGTGTTCATGTACCTGTCAGATCAACAAGAGACAGCTTCATCCAACATCTACAGTATTTCCGGTTAGCAAATGTGGTGACATTAAGATATTTAACAGATACTGTTATAATAAAAGATATACTGCAATTAAGACAAAAAAGTAGGCTAAAGTTAAGAGGCTGTTATAAAAAGCTACCACATATAGATTTAGCATATTTAGATATTTCAAAGTCCTACACCATGTTTTACTACTGCTGTGATATATTTAAATTGAGCTTATAAATATGTATGTTTTACATTTATAACCTCCATTGCACTTTTATATCTCATACATACAGTATGTCAAAGCGCTACAGATAAAATATATTTGTTAATAGCAACAGATCATCTACATTTATGTTTGGATCGATTGTTTTGTAAATTGGTAGTTGATCACATTGTGCAGGCTGCCAAGGTCCTAATAATGACAATACTTTACTTTAATATGCTCAATATTAGACATTACTTATATTAAATACAAATTGCAGGCTGAATATTTGGGTGAAATATAATGTGTTAATCGCTGTGATGACAGTTGGTGTTGTATTGCCAGTCCATAAATACCATGCACAAAGCCCGTGTCATAATTGTTTTCATAGCCTTCAATGATCCTCATTTTTCAACACAACCTTCCTGGCACTGGTGAGAGTGATGATGTCGGCTGTTTTTTTTTTTTTTTCGTGATGCATTTATTCGTGCTGGCTTCACTGGCACAACACCCAGCATTCACAGGTGTTTCTGGAAATCATTTGTATTATTATTCATTTACAAGGTCCTGTCTAATTTCCACCGTACAGTCTGACTTGAATGATCCTTTCACAAAAACAATATCTTAGGTTTGCTAAAGAGAGCAGGTACTGTTGCACTGTGTTTTATATTTAGCAAGGACCATGCTTCCCAGGATTATCTTTTAGCAATTTGTAATATGTTCAGGTTTATTTTGGATTTAAGCTCATGGTTGAACTGGATATCAATTTAGGAAAAGAGCAACACTTACAGTTAGTAATAAAAAGGCTTAGGGTTGATAACCTTTTACTAAAAGGCTCTCTTTTACAGCTGGTTAATGTAGCCTTAAGCTGCCGCCATTAATGGAGCGAAACCTTTGTGCTAGTTCAGGCAGTCAACTCGAACCCCAATGATAGATCTCCACGTGATATGCTTTACTCCACAATACAACCAACCAAAAACAATCTCCGTAATCTGGCGCTTGTTATATAATAATCACTCCTCAATGATCTACGTAAATAATATCTGCGTTGAGTGATGAGGAAACGCCAAACTCAAACTACATATGCTGCTGGTAATAAACATTTAAAACATGAATTGTCTGACTAAACTCAAGTATTGGACTCAAAAAAATGCATTCATTTAAATTTCAAATCAGTTTGGTTATGACAGCTTTATGGAAAAAAATACATCCACTTAACGTTTTGCTGGACATTTTGTTGAATTATCAATTAATGCAGTGTTTTTTTGATAATGTGTTGTTACACTCATTAGGGAAAAACATTGGAGCAATGTGTTGTTAATGTGTAATCTTCAAATAAAAGACTCTGATTAATTCACACAGGAATTGAAACGCCCTTTTCATAATCAAGCGCAATCATTCATTACTGCATTTGCGCGAAGGAAACACAGACAAATAAAAATAAACATTTGTATCAATATGCGGAATCCATTGGTAGTTATTGTACACTATGATAGAGACATACAGCTTTAGGACCAAATATAAATATAGAGCAGCGGCTAATTTCACCCTCACTCTGCCCAGGAGGACTTCCCCTTCAAGCTTCAGCCAAAGCCTGTAGCTGTTGGCCTGGTTTGAGTTTGTCTCTGAGGATCTGTCAGCAGCCAGTCTGTGTGCTGGCAGGTGGTCTGCAGGCATGACCAATACACTGCAGACAGACAGACAGACACACAGACAGACAGACAGACCCTGCTGGGCTCTCTGGGACTGCTAATCTGAGGCCAAGCCAGGGTCCTCCAGTCTTGGCTCACTGCATCACCCTCCGATTCCAAAACATTGCTGAACTTTAAACTGCACTTACCTTCAGGCTAGGGCAAGTTCCTTTAGTCAAACAAAACCAAGCAAGTAAACAACATGGATAGTACCAGTAAAGTCAAAACACATCGTACATACAGTGTTATGAAGCAACGATGTATTTGTTTATATAAATAGGGCTTATAATATTTGCAAAAATAATCAATGTGTCCAGGGATATTATAAGGCCCATGAATTCTTAAAGCCTCTAAATTCTGGATGACAATGATTTACAGTACTAATCTCCCTTGTTTAATGATGATCGCATCTGTGTCATTAGCGAGGTTGTGATTAGTCAACCGCTTAGAGATGTCCCGCCCCTCAGCTGCAATGTGATGGAGCGCTGGCCAATAGAAGGGCAATTGTTACATAGTGATATCACTTTGTTACGACATTGAACAAGGAGTCCAATCGAGGCATGGGGGGGGGGTGGTGTGTGGGAAAGAAACTTTGGGATTTTAGCGTTTGCAAACCATTTACTTGCACAAAACCTATAAAACGCACTACAGAAAAGAGAAAACCCTAAAAAGCACAACATGGCCTCTTTAAAATATATAGTTTTTCGGAGATGTGACCATTGGAAATAAGTCATCTGGCATGAAAATAGCATTAAAAAAAATACGAATCGACAATATCTAACTAATCGAATAAGAGGGTGCACCCTACTGCACGTTGTACTGCTGAACTAATAGCAACTGCTGATTTTCATCAAGTCAGAGCTGGTGATGTTGTACAAATTAAGTATAGCATGTGAAAGCAGCACAGCATTAGTACTGACAGTGTTTCTATCCACGCTGAACAATCTCAAGGTTCTCTTCACACATTACTGCTAACAGTAACAATGACTTTTAACACTGACTACACCCCCTTGTGCTTCAGTGGGGTCACCAGGGGATGAAGGTGATCACTCAGAATGAATTAGTAGAGATGATTTATTTTAGCTGACACTACAAAAGAGAGAGGACGTCACACTGCGTTCGGGGTACATTGCTGAGATAATCTCCTCTTCTGTGTTCACTTGTTCCTGTCAAAGCCTGTTAACATTGATATAACATCACTGTAGGTACCCTGTGTTATTCTATATTTTTCAGTGTCAACAAACTCCATGAAGAGACAAAAAACACAAAACACAATGATCCTAGTTACAGATGCAGTGTGGAGAGGGCTTTGTCATAGTATTTTAACCCAAAAAATATAATATAATTAACTACGTTTTATAATAAAACTAATAATAAAAAGAGAGTTGAGTGCAGTTTAGGAGGACTCTTGACCTCAGTATTAATCATTTCCTGGCCCTGGGTACTTTATTTAAGAGAGCTTTGACTTAATCATACACTGTCCTGATGCAGTAAATACTCACTACACCACCAAATGCATATTAATCCGCGTCTGAAAATAGTTCCAAACTAAGGCACAATTTACTGATGTTTGAGTAACGTTTGCTTAAATCTACAGTGCTCAGCTGTATTACTATAGTCATGATGGAGCTGTGAAGATAAATTCCATTCAAGTTGGCTGCATATTCTACATTTGTTGATGCTTTACTTCTCACTTCTTTATTGATTATCCCACCTTTACACCTTTTCTTAATTGCAGTGACCACCTAGCTCGCAGCAGAGTGACTCATTTTTTAGATGAATATTTTACATAAAAAAAAGACAATGAGGCTTGTGACCTTGCTCCCAACAGCCATTAAGTATCATTATCATAGTTAATTTCCCACACATTACCTAGATGAACAATGGCCCATGGCCTCGGGGATGACATTATTACTCACCCTGATGCCCAGCTCCACATTTTCTCCTCCGTACACCTCCATCCCCTCATCCAGCAAACCGATCTCCTCAAAGTACAGCCTATCCACCACGAAGCAGCCTATCAGGGCAGGGCTCCTGGGGGGTTTAAGATTATGAAAATCAGTTTTGTTTCTCTTATGTAGGTAATTTTATCTTGGCACAGTTTCTATAGTAACAGGGGAAAGAAGAGAAATGTGTCATTGTTCAACATATAATTTGTTCATGAATGCTGCATGAATTACCCTTTCAGCAGGCCTGACATTTGGTTAGTTTACATTTAAGTTAAAAAATAACATAAAATCTTATCATTTCATTCAGGCTACGAAGACAGCTGGTCACTCACTGGATTGGTGCGCTCTTGTTGCCTTTGTGCCACCAGGATTTGGGTGGGTTAAGGTAGCGACACCACAGCTCCCAGTCAAAGCCCTGGGCCGACAGCGGATACTCTTCAATCTCAAACGTGTCGTACTTGATGTTATCAAATGATGGGGAGATTATGCGGGTTCTGTCTTCTTGAATTCTCTGCAGAATGGGTTCAGCCCTTCAAATACGAAAAGAGAAAATACATTTAACTGAGTAAAGGTTTTGACAGGCTTTCAAAGTTACCTTGGAGATCAAGCCTCATGCGTGAGGACACTTTTTAGAAACCAATTGGATTGAATCATTAATTCAATCCAATTTGTTAGACTGACAAACCATTATTTCCCATCTGATATGTTAATGGTCATTTTTCTAATTGAAATATAAAGTGATAAAGATTAAATACACACAAGGTCATTTCATCTACATTTTGACAAAGTGATCAAAGTGTGTTATGCCTTTAATACATGGAAAACATGCATGATACAGTGTATGATGTTTTTCATCTAAAAGAATATACAAATGTAATGAGATATGAAAATGTTAATCAATAGTTCTACATTTAGGGAATTAGGCCAATTGTATTTCTTGTTGAGAGTGATAAGAAAAGAAAAAAATGTCACGCTTATGTTTGTACGATAAACATGAAGCCACAACCAGGAGACTATTAGCAGAAGAGGACAGGTTAAGAAAAAAACCCAGCTATGTCTGTCCAAAGTTTAGAAAATCCAAATACTGTATCAGCACAATCCCTCTATATATTAAAAAATGTATGTTGTTTGTTTAAACCTGGGAACAAAATTGTGTTGGAGGAATTTTTAACCTTCAGTTAGAGCCAGCCTGGTTTATTCCCCTGTTACTTGCGTTTATTACTATGGTCTTTGGTACCAGGCAAAAGCTCAAATCTAAACCTAATATAGTGATAAAATGTAAGGATGGCACTTAGCTGCATAAAGTTGATAGCTTTAAATATATTGGTGTATGGCTAGACTCTGAGCTTTCATTTAAACTACATTAGGCGCATTCACACTGCGGTACTTTTCCCACAAAGGTTCATGTGAACTTAGTTCATGTGAACTCTTTTATCGCGTTCACACCAAAAAGAGCCGGTACTAAAATTAGTTAATGTGAACCTTTTTACCCCTTCGAAAGTCCCTGCTAGAGAGCAGGGACTTTCGTGCGGCTCTCTTGTGAGAAAAGAGCTATATTTCTGATTGGCTGGGCGGATTGCAAACCACGCCCCGTAAAACTACCAAAGAGTTTTGTGAAGCCGCCATTTTATTATCCTCGCATTAGCATTATTAGCATTAGCATTAGCCCAGCGCAGAAACGCAGAGAGACTAACTTATGGCAACACAAAATAAAACATGGGAGCGGTGGAGATGAGGAGGTGTCGGCGTTCTGGCGATTTACTCGGAAGGCTTCAGTAGAAGCTGCTGGGAGTCCCAGCAGCTTCTACTGAAGCCAGTCCCCAACTCCGGGGACTTCCGGCCGGGGACTTTGGGCGGCAGTATACGCCGTGAAGTGGTTTGCGGCCTGCCAGTAAACCCAAAGCAGAAGAAGAACAAGTGACGTCAGCGGCTTCATTTGCCTAATCCACCCCCAGGGACTTATTCCAGTGTGAACGCGATCTGTACTTAGTTCATGAGAACTAAAGAGTTCACATGAACTAAATTCACATGAACCTTTGTGGGAAAAGTACCGCAGTGTGAATGCGCCTATATAAAGCATGTAATACAACAAGTCAATTACGGAATCGGTGTCTTACACCGCTCTCGCAATTGGTTTACGCTCAGTGTCCGTAAGAGAATTGCTTCTCAATTTATTCTTCCGATTATGGACTATTGTGAATCTGATGTTGTCTACCAAAATGCACATAAATCAGATCTTGCTCCACTCAACATAGCCTACAATAGACTATGCAGATGTGTTCTTGGTTGTCCTTTTCGTATACATCACTACACAATGTATAACTAACTTAAATGGCCTTCATTAAATGTAAGAAGACACATGCATTGGCTTCAGATGATATTTAAATGCATTTATCTTAACTATCCCCCTTATTTAAAGCAGTATTTTGTACCCTACTCGCCAAATCATCAAGTTAGATTTATTTCTCTGTCCCCTCTGCAAAAAAATCTATTGGCAGAAGAGCGTTCATGTTCAAAGCCCCAACAGACTGGAATACTTTACCTGCTGCCATTAGATCTCTTGCATCATTGGGTATGTTTAAACATGCATTATCATCTCACTTTCAACTGGTCTGCACTGATATTGATGAAACTGATATTGATGAAACTGATCTGCTCAACTGTCTCTCAAATTGTAATGATTGTAATGATTGTATGTATTACTTGAATTTTACTTATCAGACTGTGCGTGGTTTGTCTTGTTTGTCATGTTTTGCTTTTTGTCTTTTTGTTTATGTATGTCTGTAAGTTGTTGCTATTGTCGGGACCCCCTTGAAAACGAGATGGTGCATCTCAAGGGGTTTATCCCAATAAATAAAATGTCTATATATATTATGCAAAGCGAATAAAAATGGCTTCATGCTGCAGCTTCATTTTTGGCAAGAAAACGAATAACCAGTAAGATACAGTTTACACATTTAAAATTAGATATCCCTACAATGAGGCCTTTAGAAGTTTCTATGACAGATTTGGGAAGTGCAAAGGTATGCGCCGGAGTATGAGTACCCTGGCAGATAAGCGATCTTGTGCAGAGTGTATTCTTTGTGTATATACATATATTGAATTAATGCTTGTGTCAGAGATACAAAATACAGTCAGTATAAAAAGAGCCAAGCTACAGTCTTTGTTATTAAATTAAATTATTTGCTGAAAACCCACACAGAGGAATATGACTCAAAAAGCAGCGCTCTGGTGTTGAGCTGTTGACCTCATGCCGCATTCGCTGCGAGTGACTCACCAGCCAACGTTGAATTCGACGTGGGCATCAAACAGGGCGACCACTGGGGCAGTGGCGGCCCTCCACCCACTCACTCTGGAACGGATCAGACCCTCCTGCTTGGTATGACGCACCAACACGATGAATCCCGGATGCTGGCTGTTGGTCTCAGACACAAAATCTTGCAGCTTCTCCTTGAGCTCTTCTGAAAAACACACATGTGAATTGTTAATAAATATCTAAAGAGGTTTTTAGGATCCATCATGGGATAGGTGAGTAAAGTACTTCTGAGCAAACCTCCACCCACAGGACGTCATCATGTCTATGTTTATGTTTATGTTTATGTTTATTAAGGATCCCCATTAGCTTTTGCTCTCGACAAAAGCTACTCTTCCTGGGGTCCGACACTTAAAACAATACAACAATAATACAACAATAATACAGCAACATTTAGGACATAAGTCCTGACATCATTAATAACATTAAAAACATTAAAAACATCACCAATATCATCAACAACATGCGATCAAATTAAATTAGGGTTCACAGCTCACAAGGGTACATGGTCATTAGTAGATGGCCCTTCAATCTCTTCTTGAAAGAGGCTCTGGACTCTATTTCAGTAAGGTAGTTTGGCAATGAGTTCCATTCCTTTATAGCTCTATAAGACACAGAAGATTTCAGAAGATGTGTCCTGGGTTTAGGTGCCAGTAGATGGCCTGATGTAGCTTGTCTAGTCTTATGGTCATGCTCGTCTCTTGTGTAAACTATTTGATCATAAAAATACAGTGGTTTTTTGCTAAATTGGACATTTAAAAAAAAGTGATAACACGAGATTGCAGACGTTTCTCAACTGGAAGCCATGATAGGCTTCTATGCATAACTCCAATATGAGTGCGCTTCGAACAGTGTAGAGCTAGTCTGGCAGCCTTGTTTTGAGCTATTTGTAATTTCTGTAAATGTGTTTTTGCTGCTGATGACCATATGACCGGACAGTACTCAAGATATGACAAAACCAGAGACTGAATGACTTGTTTCAAAGTGGTTGGTGTTACATACTTTGTACATTTTCTCGCCACAGCTATGCTCCTTCCCATTTTAGTTACGATACTGTCAATTTGCTTTATCCACCGTAAACCAGAATCAAGAACAATGCCAAGCAACTTAGTCTCGTTTACCTGTTCCACTGGCTGACCAGCCAGTGTCAGGCTTAATTGAGGATTGCTGCTTAACATGTGTCTGGATCCGAACACCATTGCTTTTGTTTTTGCAATGTTGAGTACCAGTTTGTTATTGTTGACCCAGTCTGCTATGGCTTTAATCTCTATTTTAAGTAGATAGTTTAACTCACTGCATGTTGATGCTGTACTGTACATCGTGGAATCATCAGCATACATTATTACACTGGACTTATTTAATACGTAAGGAAGGTCATTTGTGAATATAGAGTACAACAAAGGCCCAAGCGAACTCCCCTGTGGGACCCCACACTGCAACACCTTACTTTCAGAAAAGCTCCCATTGAAAAACACTCGCTGCCTTCTCCTAGTCAGGTAGCTCTCCATCCAACACATAGCAACAGAATCAAAACCATAGCATTTGAGTTTGTTCAGCAGCAGACTATGATCGATTACATCGAAAGCTGCGCTAAAGTCTAACATCACAGCTCCCACAAGCCTCCTATCATCCATGCTCTTTAACCAGTCGTCGGTCATTTGTGCAAGTGCTGTACTTGTAGAGTGACCATCTCTATAGGCATGTTGGTAGTTCGTTGTCAGATTGTTACTTGAAAAGTAGTATTGAATTTGGGTGTATACTATTTTTTCTATTAATTTACTTAACACTGGGAGGAGACTTATAGGTCGACTATTGGAACCAGCAAAGGTTTTTCTTTTATCCTTGGGTAATGGCCTTGGCTTCCTTCCAGATCTCGGGACACACGCCTTGCTCTAAACTTTTATTAAAAATGTGACTCAATGGCTTGGATATGTATTTGGCCGTCATTTTGAGCAGTTTACCATCCAAGTTGTCAATCCCAGGAGATTTATCATCGGACAGATGTAAAAGCATATTTTCAACATATTCTTCTGTAACATTGTGGAATTCAAACATGCACTGCTTTTCCCTCATGATACAATCTTTAATGATGTGATGTGACACTGTGTCCTTGACTGCACCCATGGCATTCCTCAGCTGATCTACTTTATTTGTAAAATAATCATTAAAATGATTTGCAATATCTGCTGGCTTGGTAATGAATTTACCCTCGGTTTCTATAAAAGAAGGATGCATGTTTGAGTTCCTCCCCATTATGTTATTCAATATTTTCCATAATTTCTTTCCATCATTCGTAGAATCACTGATTTCTTGCATGTAGTATTCCCTCTTTCTACATTTATTCAATTTGGTTACCGCATTTCTTAGTTTACAGTAATGTTGTTTGTCACATAGAGAACCTGTTCTGTCTGCCGTTTGTTTAGCATCATCTCGTTGGACCATTACACTTCTCATCTCGTCATTCAACCAAGGGGCACACTTTGACCGGGCAGACCATTTTCTCATATGAACATGCTGATCGGCAATCCCCATGAAAGACTTCATAAATACTCCCAGTGCTTTTTCTGGGTTTTCCTCATGGCAAACATCAAACCATTGCACATTCTTTACCTCCTCTACAAATTGTTCCTGATTAAACCCCTTATAAGACCTTCTATAATTTATCTTGGAGCCAGCCTTAGGTATTTTGGTCTTGCGTACTATAGCAACTAGATTATGATCACTAAAGCCAACTGTGAGTGACAACACTTTAGTGCAGTGCTCTGGCCTGTTGGTATAGATGTGGTCAATGCAGGTCGTTGTAATAGCCCCATGTTTATTTGTAGCCCTTCTGGTTGGTGATGTTATTACCTGAGTCATGTTACACATTTTGGCAGCTAATGCAATCTTGTTCCACATGGGGCATTTCTCATTGAAGGCATTGATATTCAGGTCTCCCATGAAATATATTTCGCTATTACACTCAGCTGTATTATCTACCATTTCACAAATACCATCTAGATAGTTTGAATTGGCACTCGGTGGCCTATAACAGCATCCAATTAATATGGGTTTTAAATGTGGCAATTGTATTTGTAACCATAAAGCTTCTATTTCATTTTTCATTAGGTCGTATCGTACTTTAGCTGGAATATGATTTTGTACATAGATCAAAACTCCGCCACCATTCTTATCTCTATCCTTTCTGAACAGATTGTAACCATGCATTGCAACCTCTGAATCATCAACAGATGAGTCCAGGTGTGATTCTGAGATAGCCAGTATGTGTATATTATTTGATTCTACCAAATGGCAGAGTTCATGCACCTTATTCCTCAAACTACACACATTCAAGTGAGCAAGTAACATTCCCTTCTTTGGCAGATTAACAGAATGTGACATTATTGTCATGTGTTCATAATTAGTTCATATCAGATATACCTTAAAAGTCCAGTGATACAATTAGGTTCTGGAGTGCTGTGGGGGGCAGATTATCAGCTTGTCATGCCTCAGGAAGGCAATCTCTCCCCTCTCCCGCGCTTCCCACAATTTAGGGAGTAGCTCTTTCCTTTTCATTCTGACTGCTTCAGTGTAATCTTCATTAATGTAGATGTTCGTCCCTCTTAGATTTTTGTCTCTCTCCAAAACCGCTGATCTGTCCTTGAACCTCAGGAACTTCACTACTATGGGTCTGGGTCTGGTATTGTTAGCGGCTGGCTTCCCAGTGCGGTGAGCTCTCTCAATCTCAATGCTTCGTTGAAGCTGGAGTTTGTCCACAAGAATGTCTTTCACCTTTTCCTCAGTTTGCGCCCAGGTCTCCCCAGGCTCCTCACCGATGTCCTCCCACAGTGGGCGGTATTTCATTGGTAGGAAGCTAAAAGTACTCACTGCTTCACCACTTTGATCACTAGACCAAAGAGGCAGCAGCTTGAGACACCAATGCAGACCTCCATGGGGCTTACAAGTCATAACAGGATATTGCAAAATTGAGGACGTAGCCTGAAATGCTTTTCAAAACAAGGATGAAGATGGCGAGAGTCCGTCCGGCTCCTGAGTTTACCTCCATTATTACCTGAGTTATATATGTTATTGTGAGTCATATACCCTGAAGAGGGAAATAGTCAGTGCTACTTCTATGAAAAACAAGCCTCTAGTTCTCCCCATAAATTATGATTTGAAGCAATATTTCAGCAAATTTTTCTCTAGAATACAGTTAATTACAGCAATATATTATAGGTTCGCCTTCTGGTTAAACAAGAACATTTATTAAGCCAAGGCTGGTTCCCTTTTCTTGATATGAAACAACACTTTGGAGGCGGCTATGAGTTGTCAACAAATGAATGATGAAAACCACAGCACTTCTTTTCCCACACATGAACAGTCCATACAGTCCTATCACAAAGTTGGCAGAGCAACATTTTCTCCTATGCTGCAACCACCTGGCACCTGTTCCCTATACAAGCCTCACAGCACATATCAATCAGTGCATCTACCACAGTGAAATTCAATTTAAAATGCAAGAATATATCATATAAATATTTTTACTTCATATATTTTCAGCGGCAATCCCAACAGAGGTTGGGAAAGCATGAATTATCCTCACCCATATGTGTAATTTCAGGATGCTCAAAAGCTCCGCAATATTTTTGTCTTAAAGGTCACCTATTATGGAAAATCCACTTTTTCATGTATTTTATACATAAAATGTGTCCCCTCTGTGCAAAGAGATTCTGAAAGTTTCAGGAAAAAAGATTTGCTTTCGTTTTGTCCTGATCCATTTATATAAAAACCTGTCTGAAAATGAGCTGATCAGATTTTGGCCACTTTATGATGTCATAACGATTTTATGGCTTGTGTAACCATTAGCCAATCACCAACCAAGGTAACCCCCCCCCACCTTATCACCTGAATCTCCTCCTAGAGTACCATTGTGTTATTTTTAACCAAATATCTCGCAGAGGGGCGTGGAGAGTGGCTCCTTATTTTCATCTAAAGTAACAGACAGAGAATCAGCACTTTTGAAACAGGGCTGAAACAGAGGGGATTATGGGATGCTACAATGATCTGTTTGGTATTTGGACGCAAACACTTCAGAGCAAAGATGGAGTACTCAAGTGCCGATTTTCGGGACTCGTGACTCGAATCGGACTCGTGCACTGATTGACGCGA